GCTTTTTACAGTGTTTTTCTATCCAAATGCAATACAATATTCAAAGTGCCATATATACGTCTAGAAACTGCCTACACATCCTTATCAGGCCTTGGGTTAGAGATTGCTGCAGTTCGCCTTTTTTGTCTATTTATGCTAGTGTCATGAACGCTCGTGTCACCTGCTCATGTCCCCCCTCTTTTTCCTCCCCACTCTGTGTTGAGTCATTGGTAAATATGTATTGTGATGTACTCAATTTGAACAGTTGGTTTAAGAAAATTGTAGATAAACAATAAACTTCCCTATACATTTAAAGGTTAAACCTCTTTCTTAGTGTGAACATGTGTACTGTAACACTTTGCGATACAAACGATCGGTAAACCAGATGTGAGGGTATTTGTGAAGTCAATAAAGTTAAAAAGAAAAAAACAAGGTCAAACGCATTTAAAGATATTTTTAAATGATCCAATCGTGTGTCAAACACTGAAATGATTGCAGATCTGTGGTCGGTATGCAGTGTATGGTGAAGTGTTACTGTGAATGAATTTTAAAAAGCACAATGTACAGTCCACCGGTCGGAACAGGGGCTTGACTCACTTCAGGGGCTTCCATCACAAATCCCGCTCTAACAATCACTTTCTTTCTTTTGTTGTGTTCATATTCTCAAGTGCTATTTTTTTTTTTTTGACAAGTGTGGTAGCTTTGCATCTCTATAGATATTGTCTTGATCTAAAAGAAAATAGAAAAAAAATAAACTTTTCCTGTGTTATTCTTGTCTGATAATCGGTAGGACTTTGTTCCCGTTCCACCAATCATTTAATAGATGTTTTATCTTGTCTTGATGAAAGCCAAAGTGGGTGCATCTTGATGTGATCTGTATTATACATACAGTAGTTTTTTCTGTTCAGTCAATATCAATTTTTTGGAAAACTGGGTGGGATTTGAGAAAAAAAAGACATACACAGGCTTTCCAATTTCTACAACTGGTTGTTCATATGTATTTTGTACCAGTGAAGCTTTTTATATTGGAAATTAAAGGAAAAAAAAATCTATATTGGAAAAAAAAATTGTCTGGCCTCTCAATGTGGCCTCGCCTTGACCCGGTCTCGAGTTTGGCCTCTTGGTGGTGTCAAGCAATTTTTTTGTTTTTGTTTTTTTGTCTCTAAAAAAAGATGCCTGATTTTGATTTTACCCGGATCTCTTCGTGTTCCTCACATCGTTAATTTCAGTTTTCGGGGGGGGGGGGGGGGGGGGGGGGTTGGGTCCTCTAAGTCGTGGTAAGTTTCATGTTAGTGTTTGTGCTGTCCACATAGTTTAATGGTCATCAGGATATCGACAACTTGTGTGGTTAATTGTCTTAGTTGAAGAGTTAAGTATCCGTTTAGTTTGAGCCTTGCTTTTTACCTGTGTAGAGGTTTCTGTTTTTTCCCATAGCGGAGTGTGTAGCCGAAAGACTCTGTGTTCTTTTTTGGTCAATGTTTGTTCATGTGTGGTGTGTTTCTTTGCCTCTGTCTCCAAATTAAACCATTTCCCCTAATATGGACTGTGAGTCTTTGTGTGTTGTGCTTGTCCAGTGTTGTAAAGACATTTTACAAACCACCCCCCCCCCCCCCCCCCCCCCCCCCCCCCCCCCCCTCCCCCAGTGTGTCATGTCTCGCTAACTTGTTTCTCTGCGTTGTGCTTCTCTTTGCTTACTTTGAGCAGTAACAGACAGCTGGTTTATCTTAATGTTAACCTTTAGAGGTCTGATGGGGGAAGATAGATCTACAGCCACACTGAACAAAATATAATATATAAGACAAAATAGAAATGCTCCAATACTTTTTCTATAAATTAAAAGGTTATTTATTTCAAAAATGATGGTTGAAATTTAAAAAAATCAATTTTATTATACGTGATTATAACACAGGGCGTGCCTTAGCTGGTCATAAAACAAGACCAGTCTAATGGATTAGGAAGTCTTGAATCTATTTTATGTGAGAAAAATGGGAGTTTTTGTTATTTGGGCCTGTTATTTATCCTTGAAGCTGCACCCGAAGGTGTTTCTAGAAACAATTTAGTGCGCACAAACAAATATAAAGTTGAATTAAAATGTGCAAAGACCTTGAGTTTAGACTCTTCAGTGGTAGTGAATGGATTAATCAATTAGTTAGGGAACAGAAGGTTAACGTTTTTACACTACCAGATGTAAGCGGGTGATCAGAAAGTTGGATGTTTTAAACTGCATCTGCAAAATTGGTAAGAGAAATCTTTACATTTCATAGACCGAAGAATAAATAAATGGAAACATCTATGCAACCCTGAAAACCAAAGACCCTACATTTGTTGGTTCTTGATTTTCAAATACAAGGATTTGCTTTTTATTTATGTATGGAATGAGCTCCCCATTGACATCAGGACAGCAGAAAGCCTACACATCTTCCGGCGCAGACTGAAAACTCATCTCTTTCGACTCCACTTCGAGCAATAAAATGACTAACAAAGCACTTATATACTAATACAGGACTGGCTTGGCTAAAGCCAGTTGAGTAGCACTTGAAATGTTTTGGCTCTATGAAACCTGATGTACTTATATGATTCTGTTTTCTTCAAGTTTGTATCTTCTTGTTCGAATGCACTTATTGTAAGTCGCTTTGGATAAAAGCGTCAGCTAAATGCAATGTAATGTATTATATCAATGTAGATATATTTAGATTTTAAACAGTTGGTTGCACAAAACAATACATTTGAACACATTGTGTTTCTCCATGTTGTGTTTTGTTATCAAGGCATAACAAAGTATAGAGAAATGATTAACCAAATGATTATTAGTTGCAGCCTAAATTCATAGAAAAGCTCAAAGCTAAACATTAAAAAAAAAATCTTGAATATTTTCAAAATATTAAATGAGTCCCTTCAATAAATCAGGAAATGCAGCTTTCTGATGCAACTGCTTGTTATAAAGGCAAGGCAAGTTTATTTATATAGCACTTTTCAACACAAGGCAATTCAAAGTGCTTTACAAAAAATGAAAGAGATTAAGAAAATGGCATTTAAAATCAGTCATTAAAAAGAAAAGCTAATAAAATAAACATTAAAAGAAAAAGTACATGGATAAAAGTTACAGTGCAGTCTAAGATATGAATAGTTCAATTAAAAGCAGCGACAAAAAGAAAAGTCTTCAGCCTGGATTTAAAAGTAGTAAGAGTTGCAGCGGACCTGCAGGTTTCTGGGAGTTTGTTCCAGATATTTGGAGCATAATAACTGAACGCTGCTTTACCATGTTTAGTTCTGACTCTGGGGACAGAAAGCTGACCAGTCCCTGAAGACATTTAAAGTTTGGGTAATTCCCTGTATTACAATGAAGTTAAGTTGACCATGTTTTAAAAGTTTCCTTCGCCTTTCTAAAGTGTGGATCTTTCTGTCAGACTGTCCCTAAATGCAGAGAAAACTAAGTTGTCTAAGCTGGTCTCAAGAAATGGAAAATAAATATCATCCTGTATCAGGCAACATATAGCAGGATAAGGGAAATACACAATGATTATTTTTACTTAAATAAACGTATGAAAAGCTGCTACATGTCCTTTTTAAATTCCACATGCCTTGTGGAGAAGAAAAAAATGACCTTAGAAAACCACGTGGAGACTTGCTATACAACTTTGAGATGTGGAGAATGGAGTTTACAAGCAGCACTTGAACACAGCATCGATCTCTTCCTTTACACTTGTTGCGCTACGTCACGGGGGATACTTCAGGTACTTCGGAATCGTTTAAAACTAGCTCAAACACAATGAGAATTTGTTTTAAAGTGTAGAGTCTTGAAATAAAACTACTAACTCGATGTTTTCAAGAAATCTGGGACAAATAAAGTAGTTAAAAACTAAAGCTGAAGATGTGCCTCGTGACAGTGTTGTGAGACGAGTAGGTGACACTCAGCCAATCAGCTTCCGATGCGGCGCCTCCTCCTCCTCCTCCTCTCTGACGCTGAAGTGAGCTTCCGGTTCGACAGTTGAGGGGAAACGTAAGGTAAACTTATATTTTACAAGTCTAAGTTTAGCTAGTGGGTGTTTGACCTACACCTTGTCAAATGTGATTTAGATGTGGCAAAATCAGTTTTCAAATCTAATGTTTTTCTCTTGTTTGATGTTTAATATGCCTGGCCCTTTTTATATGACACAAGGTAATTCATACAGTATTTGTTCCATAAAATACTTATTTTTGCCTTTGCAGTCTTTCTTCTCTGGAATAACTGAGTACAGACTTGAACAGTCCTTGTGGTTTCTGACCTGGACCCTGTCCACTCCGGTCTGGATATAAATAATAATGGAATCCCCCCTTTCTAGATGTGAAAATCTACCTTCAAAAATTATAAAAGTTTTCACAAATTTGAAAGAGTTTCAGAAAACAATATCTAGAAGGACTAACATGATTTTGCAACATTATAAATACAATGAATAAAGTGGACAATCGTTCTCTGAGGTTTATGTCCGACTCTTTCCCATTGCACCAGCGCATTCCTATGAGTATTTTTAGCACATCTTTTGCACAATACTACCACTCTTAAAACTGCACATCTCTTCCACTATAACATTCTGATATACTTTAAACTTTACAGTAATTTGTCATTATCTCACTATTTCTTTTTTTGCAAAACATTTTTATTTTATTCTTTATTCTAAATCTTATTAATGGAATACTTACAATAATGTTCTAATGTTATCTTATTTTATAACTTAATGTCTCTGATTGTGATTATGTATGGGTCATAATAGTAGAGTAAATACTGTTATATTTTACTATATTTTGTATTTTTTAATATTTTCTAGTTCTCTACCTGTGTTTTTAATTCTTGTTTGTTTCTTGTTGTGGTGTATGCACCACGACACCAAGTCAAATTCCTCGTACGTGTCAACCTACCTGGTAATAAACCTGTTTCTGATTCTGATAATACCCTAAAACAAACTCCTTGTATGTGTAAATCTACTTAGTAAATACCTGATTTGGATTCCCCTTAACTTTCCTCTTAGCTGTTACGAATGTGAGTCTAACTTCAGCCTCCTCGTCCTCTCGGCAGTATGGCTGCCGTCCTGTAGCAGTATCTGTGTGCAGACATAAGATTCACAGCTTTAGCACTTTACAACATGTCGGCGGTACTTTTCCTGAAGAAGTCTCTGAGCAGACTCCCTCCGGCTGTGGCTCGGCAACTGGTCCGGTGTTGCTATCACACCGAGAGAGGGGTGTTCGGGTACCGACCCAAACAGACCGAGAGCCGACATGAGTTACTGAAGGACCGCATCGCAGCGCTGAACCAAGGTCAGTATAGGGTTAATTTAAGGGGTTGAATAAGGTTTTTATTGCAGTATAAACAACTTTAAGACACCCTATAGATGTGAACTAATCTCTAATGATGACAAAGTTTAACTTCCTGTTACGTAAAGTTATTTTAATCAAGTATTCCAGTTTGTTTGTACGTGTTTAAATTCCAGTGGTGGGAGGTAACTAAATTTACTCAAGTATTGTACTTAAAGGGATAGTGGAAATGGAACCTCAAATAGTTTCGTTTTAACTTATATACAAGCATAATTACGTACCAAAACAATCACACCTGATTAAAAAAATATAATAATTGCCTTACGCATGTTAGAAGCACTTTATTGCAGCTTCCCCGAAGTTTTTTAGAAACGAAATGTTCGACTCAGCCAAACCGGAAGTGACGAAAACTCAGGAAGACGATACGATAACAAACTATGGCGTCTATGTAGAATGAACGTGGAAGGGCAAATATACCAGACAAAGAAGAAGGATTGTACGAGGTATCCAGTGATGATAGCGAGTCAGAAACATCCTCTCGGCTTTCCTACGAAAATGTCGTTTTAGGAACTGAATCTGAATCCGGTTCAGTAAGCGACGATGGTGAGAATATTGAGCCAGACGATGGACCATTACCAGGGGTGCACATAACTTTTTTGCCCTGGTTCTCAAAGGAGCACCTGGAGATGTTGCTTGGTGCTCATCCTTAAAATGAAATAAACCGTAACTTTTGAGGGGTCTTGACTTTATTTGCCAGACACACGGCACTGAACACACATGCAGAGGTGAACACAGAACACACATGCAGAGGTGAACACAAGACAACATTAGCACGACCAGTAATCCTACAAGCTGTCATCACTACCCTCCTGACTGTTCTCCTCACTGTCTTCCTCTCTGTCAGACATGGTAGCTGATGATGTAGGCCTACTTCTTTCTCTCTGGTTGAGTCTGTGATTAGCTGCTTGCATCCACAAGTCAACAGCTGGGTTTGGGTCGAAAGTCTCTGTTATCATCTTAGACAAGTGGATGTAATCAAATAAGTATGTGAACATAACCAATAACCTACCATAGCCAATAACAAATGAATGTAACTTATTTTATTGTTGTTGTTCATTAATATCTTATTTTACCTTAACATTTATTTATGCATTTTTTTTATCTCTCCAGTTTTAAAGGATATTTTTGGTTACTGTCCTATAGTATGAATGATTTCAAACCTGTTTATCCCAATAATTATAAAGGAGTGCCTTGGAAATATGTGTTTACATAAATTGTGACCAAACCGTTTGAACTTAGACTAGGAGTCCTTTACCTCACTGAGCTGTAGTTAACTTATCAGCCACTCAGTCTGACTGGAGAGGACTCTCCCTCCACATTATTGTAGAAACATCTTCTTCTTATATCCGTTAGAGCAGCTAGCACCAGATTATAATAACAGCGCTGGTACCGGTGCACCCTCCCTCTCACTCGCATTTTGTCTGTGAGCTGCGGGCGCCAGATAAGCCAACATCCCCCATTTTCATCACTTACAGCGCCCATCGTACAGGGCAAATGAAACGTGTAACCGGGCTGGAAAGGGTGTTACATTTACTTAATTATGAATATTGTTACATCAAGGCCGAAAATTAGGATGAGACCCAACGGTCAAAATGTTTTCTTCCCTCCCAGAACTGCCAGCGCAGCGCCTCCCCAGATCTGGCGCCCTAGGCGAACATCTAGCCAGAGCTACGGGCCAGCCCTGAGTTCATATCATGGTTCATATGCAACTCGCAAATATCTTTCTCTCTCTTCTCTCCTCTATTTTCTCTTTTCTCTTCTCCCTTCTCTCTCTCCCTCTCTCAATGTTGGTACGCAAATGCGCTTTGTTTCAAATGACCCGGTGCTCTTTTTTTGGCGGAGGTGCGCATGCGCACCAGTTATGTGCAGCCCTGACCATTACGTCCTTATTTGTTCGAGCCCGAGCCCGAGCCCGAGGTGATGGTTCACGGCATGGGCAATGGCGAGGATGACCAGGAGCAGGCGCCAGATGATGCACCCCTACGCACAAATAATCTTGACTGGTAGGTCCCTAAGCATAGCTCACGCATCTTAAGATCACCTGTAGCCTTTACAAATATTAATCATTGTTAACCAGTTAAGCCCGAAGGTCCCCCCAGTGGACCCCTCCCACAGTTTTTTTTCTCTCACATGTCTCAGGGCTTCTTAACATTTATGAAACTATTAATGTTTCATACCCTTTTAAAGGTAAGAAACTCCGCTAACTGACAATAAGAACAATTGTTAGCTAGAAAAAACACAAGAGTAATACCAAGCCTTTGAATTAGCATTGAGCGAAACAATGCTAACTAATGCTAACGCTTTTTTACACACAACACATGGTGGAAATGCCCTTATTACTATCTTAACTGCACAAACAAGATATACGATTTAAAGCTGAGACTCCACACATGTAATGTCATCACTGTAAGACCTCGAATTCCTGGAGCTATCAGCCAGAAAAGAGAAAGTAAACAACATCCGGTTCCAAAAATATTACAATAATTACGTCTTACCTTTTTTGATTTGTGATCAAAAGTTGTGTTCAACGGAATAAAAACGCATCTCAAGGTTAATCCAATGTCGTTGTGTCACGTAGAATTTTTTACTGATAATCAATCATCATATTTATGGCAATATACTCGGTATAAAGTATTGCCGTCTTATAGTATTACCTATAGTGAAAATGTCTGAACACATTTCACCCACTGACGACGAATGGCTGGGTTTCTTGGAAACGCATGAGTCGATACGCCATTCTCTGCATTTGCTGTCGCACTACAGCCATACAAAACACATCTATTCACCATAATAAAGGTCGGCTATTCACATGCAAATGCTATTGAATGTCCGCCATTGTTTGTGCCCGTCTTCCTCTGCTCTCGTCATCATCCGAAGATTCCCGACGATTCCCGAAGTATTTCGTTTCATTGAGAGGGCGCAGTAAAATTGAAAATAAAATGAAACTAGGCGCATGAAATTAAAAAAAATAGTTTATTATGCTTATTTTTAATACAAATACATAAGTTAAACCCAAAATTCGCGGATTTCCACTATCCCTTTAAGTAAAACTTTTTGGTACTTTTACTTTACTTGAGTATTTAAACGTCATCCTACTTTATACTTTTACTCCACTATAATTTGTTGATAAATGCTGTACTTTTTATTCCACTCTATTCATTTAGCAGATTGAGTTGCTCGTTACTTTGTAGATGTATGTTATTGATACTAAATATTAATCAACTAATACATTATCATATATTATTGAAGGTTAAGCCACCCAGTAGTAATTAAAGTAATTCAAATGTACCCCAAATGTACCAAGTGCAACATTGAAGTGATGAAGACCTTAAAGGCAGTGTGCGAAAAAGTACACGTCCCACCGTCCGGGACGTGTTATTTACAATATCGGACAAGTAGATCTTTCAATTGACTTGTCCGGCGGACAAGTGACGTTTTTCGGCCTGATTTATTGACAAATTATTGATACATTCAGTTTACAAAAGGCAGAACTCAATCGCAAATTGTACGTGTCCGCCATTGTTCGTTTAGATTCTGCTTGTCGATTCCTAAGGAAATGCATCTCGCCGCTTTCTGTACAGTTAGACGGGGCGGGGCGGGTGGGAAGTGTAGCACAGTGGCAGGGTTGGGAAGCAAAACACGGTTCCGATTAGGAACAAATATCAATTGTCCGGTACCGGGATTAATAAGAGTTGTGAGGACAGGAGGCGAGGCCGAGCCCCGCGGACTGCAGCTCTATCTATGCTCCGTATCAGCTGATCGCTGCAGCTCAGCGTCTCTCTCTCTTTCTACACACAGCGGATCCGCTGCCCGATTAACAGCCTCATCTTTGTCAAACTTTCTTATGTTCTTTCTCTAACGCATAATGAAGGTTATTAAGCGTTTTAACTCCTATGTTGTTAATATTGACCACCATTTCCTTTTATGAAGTAAAGCAACCTCCCTGTCTGTGTCCTCGCGCTGTCCTCACATCCCCGGACCCCCAGACTCAGAGGAGCACAGGGATGTCAGCAGAGACGTGCACACATGACTCTAGGTAGTGCTTGAGCACCTGCCCGTTTTGCCCTCTGGACAGCAATGTGCCCTTTTGAAAGTTCGTTTTTTACAGTTTAAATTTTTTTTTACAGTGTACTGTATGTGGCTCATGGTAACATCGATCAATTCTGGATTAAAAGCTTCTAATATATACAACAATGCCCCAAATGCGCGTTGTAATTTTGTCAGACATCCCCACGCATGCCTTGCGGCACTCCCGTACTCCTGGCTGCAGCCCCTCCCTTCCCTGCTCTCAACGTGAGCGCGCAGAGCTGACAGTCAGTCTAGTGATGGGAATTCCGGCTCTTCTTGGTGAGCCGGATCATTTGGCTCGGCTCACCAAGAAGAGCCGGCTCTTTCGGCTCCCAAACGGCTCTTCAGTTTACCACTTATTATACCTTTTAATTAAATCAAATGTAGCCCTGTTTTGACTAATGATTTATATTTGTACACATATATCACTTAAATTATTCAATACATCCTTTGTACTGAAGTATTCAAAAGTAAAAATTACATGTTTAATATAAATGATTTGCTGTGGCCAATTGTTTTCATTGCATTTACAGACCCGTGCAACTCTCTGATACCACCCAATGAATGCATTGACTTGCTTGTAGAACCACACTACACAAAACAGATAGCAACACCTATAAAAACTATTTAAAAAAAGGGGCTACTGTATCGACCTATATAAAGTATATAAATATAGGTTTTTTTTCAAAATACCAAAAAGATCCTGTATTTTAGCCATGCCTCATTTCGCTCTATTTGCTCCATCCAGCGCTGTTTTTGCAGGGGGCTGATTCTGTGAGCTGCAGCTGACCACGCCCCCTGCAGGAGAGGGGAGCTGCTTTGAGATCAGCTGCTGGGCTCTCAGAAGAGGGGGAGAAAAAGAGATCTCCGTCCTC